ATTGAACTCCTGACCATAAGGCCGGCGGTGCAAACCTACCAGCCTCACTGAGGGAGAAAGCTGAGCCCCGGAAGCCCTCTGTCGGCCTGCTGTGAGTTGGGGTCAACTCCATGGCAGGGGTGGGTTGGGGCTCCTATGTGCAAGCACTTGGGAGCCCGGATGACGCAGTGACTACAAGTTAGGCTGATAACCACCAGGTCAGCAGTTCAAAACCACCAGCCACTTGCAGGAGGAAGATGGGGCTTTCTACTCCCTCACAGAGTGACAGTCTCAGGAGTCCCTCAGGGGCAGGTCTCCACTGCCCTGTAGGGTCTCTGTGAGTTGGCATTGGCTCCCTGGCTGTGAGCTCAGTTTGGAGTTTTCCTTTCTGGCCATGCCCCTGGTGCCCAGAGCCCAGCTGTCCAGTCGGTTCCGACCCATAGTGACCCAGGTGACAGTGTAGAACCGTCCCTGTAGGGCTGCCTCCTCTTTATGGACTTGTCTTTGCTGAAGCCTTGGCTCTGGTGGGGTCGCAGGGTGGGTTTGAACAGGTAATCTCCTACCCAGCCGAGCAAAGAACCCAAACCCACTGCCATGGAGGCGATGCCCACTCAGCGTGACCCTAGAGGACAGGGTGGACCTGCCCCTGTGGGTTTCCGAGGCTGTAACTTTGTAGGGGAGGAGGGAGCCTCATCTTTCTCCCGCTGAGCGGCTGGTGGTTTCAAACTTCAGACTTTGCAGCTTTGCAGCCCAACGCGCATGCACTACGCTCCTGAGCACCTGTTGTCGCGCCCGCAGGAATCCTGAATATCTGGGGGAGCTGACACACACATGAATGGATTTCCATTCTGCTCCTGCCCCGGCCCTCTCCCCTGCCCTCCCCCAGCCTGCCCCGTGTGCACACCCTCGCCTCACTTTCGGCGTGGGAGGTTCCGCAGGAACAGGGCGATCTGAACATGGCCCAGGACTACAGCAGATCACCGAGTGGAGGATGACGACATCAGTGGGTCACTGCCCAATGACGTCATCGCATCCCTGCCAAACCGCGGGACATCCTGGCCCAGCCCAGTTGGCTCATAACCTTGACCCTGCCGGGTGGCCAGCTTTGCTCTCATCCACACCTGGCCGACTGCCAGCCGTCGTCGATGGGCGCACTGGTCAGATAGAAGCTTTACTCTGTTGTGAATGGGAAATGTCAGAGAGGGGATTGCAGGGAAGTGGGGAGGCGGGGTCTTCGAGAAAGGGCTTGCATGCTGACAACAAACATTCGGAAAACCGCTTAAATGAAGGCGTCTGGCACACGGAGGTGTCTGTGTGTGGGTGTGCAACACACGCTCGCGTACAGTCCGTCCCCGATGCCCCGCGTGCAGATCCTCTGTCCGCGATGCCCCTCTCCCCCTCACCCCAGTCTGGCTTCAGCTTGGAATGTGTAATAACAGCCTACAGGGCAAATTGGAACAGGGCAGGCACTGCTTGCCCGACCACAGAGCACAGGGCCGGATTTGGGGAGGAACTTGCCTCCGGGTAGCAGAGCGGCCTCGTGCGCATGCGCAGGCCTGCTAGCTGGTGCGCCCTCTCAGGGGGGCTTGCGGGTGGAGCATTGGGGGCCTCTAGGAGCCTCTGGCTTTCTCCCCTGTGAAAAGGGGAGTTTTAAGGCACCCTGGTAGCATCGTGGTTACCTGTTGGGCAGGTAACCCAGAGGTCAGCAGTTCGAAACTGCCATCCCCTCCGAGGGCAAAAGATGAGGCTTTCTACTTTGCCCCCCTTGGAGTTATAGTCTCGACAACCCACAGGGGGTAGTTATAAGTTCTACCCCACCCTGTAGCCACTGGGTGTTAGTCAACAGCCGTGAGTTTTGGAGGTTTTTTTTGGGGAAGGATCCCTGGGTTAACACAAGCTGGTCTGATCACCACAAGGTTGGAGGTTCAAGCCCATGTGTTGGCACTGGGGGGTGGGGAAGCCTGGCAATTGACTCAGCCGAGAAATTGGTCCGTGAACACCCCCACCCAGCACAGTTCTGCCAGGAGGGGCCTCTGTGATTTGGGGTCGATTCCACTGCTACTGGTTTTGGGTTTTCTGTTGGCAGAAGAGGGGGCATGCCCCACCCTCATCATCCCGACTCCGGGGTGACTCCAGGATCCACGGAAGGACGGGTGAGGGTTGAGCCCCAGGGGCCAAGTAGGGAGGTTCCCCCACTGACTGCCCTTGGG